GTCAGCACAATCCGCGATTGCTGAACCGCTTTTCGGGGGAACGAAAAAAGCCGTCCCCACGTTCCAAACCCCCGAGACTTCCCCTCCAACTCCCCATTTTAAGAGCATCCCTCCTTTAGTACTGGCCTTCAAAATTACGATTTTCTTCTTCTTTATTTCCTCTTCCGATTGCTTTGGCAGGGTGGCGCGAGCCGTATATGGCTTTACGCCGGGGGCTGGCGGCGATTTTTTTGCTTTGTTGTTTTGAGGGGCTCGATTCTTTTATGAGGTCTGTAAAGTTCTCTCTCTCTCTCTCTCTCTCTCTCTCTCTCTCGCTCTGTTGGTCAGTTTTATGATGGAAAGATGGGGAATCCTGAGATTTTTCGTGAGTCGCAGATTTTGCGAACTAGCACCAAAGGAGCAACTTCCTAGGAACCTCGCTCAATCTTAAAAAAATTCAAATTTCAAAATTAATAGATACTAAGCGTATTATAAGCACTACACAATTTTTTTTTTGGGAGTGTGAGCATGTGTGTAGGGGTGCCGAGTGGGGGGCGGCTAGTGGTGCTCTCTGGATGGGCATCGATTCTCCCCCTCTTTTCCCGTTGGTGTCCCATCTCTGCCTCGCCCTCCGGTGGGTCCTTTCCCCCCTTGAAGGCCCGTAGGGGCCCACGGCGATGTGGGGTCCTTCTGCGCGCGCACCTTATTTCATTGGCAGTCGTCGGCGGGGTGGGGGCCCTCCTTTCTGGGTCCCTACTGGGTCCCTCAGGGATTTCCTCTCGGCACCACATCCATTCTGCATCCGTCCGCGCGTCGTCCCCGAGAGTCCCGTCTAATTCTTCGTGAAATTCGATCTTGCCCCAGTCACCCCCGGGGGTTGCGTTTTTCATTTTGCTACCAAGCTATTTTCTAGGCAATTTTGGGCTTAGATTTATGGTTTTTAAACCGAATTTTTTTTGCGTTTCTTCCCATTTCAGTTAAAAGTCGTATTTTTGGACGCTATAACGTTAAGGAACCTACCAGCGCCGCAACTTAAAATATTTCCTAAGCCATTTTGGGCCGACAATAGGCTTAAATGAGCGTTTTTCAACGCTAAAAATTTGTTTTGCTGTGATTGCGACTTAATTTCGATGTTTGTTCTGTTTTCAGGTAGAATTTTCTGCGCAGCTTCATTAAATAAATCAGAAAATACAATCTTTAGTAGCCAGGGAAATCGAAAAGCCCGCGCCCACCTTTCAGCAGAATCATCCTCTCCCCTTCTAAAGAATACCCATTCCATTCCTCAAAGCCCACCCCTACCTCTCCACGCATCCCATTTTTCCACTCGACTAATCCACAAAAGCGGTAAACAAAAAGCACCCCTGGTACCCCGCAGGCTATACGATTTCATTTCCAATGGGATCACAATTTGTCCCCCACCCATCGATGCAAATGTGGCAACAGGCAGCACAGACACTCGCCTGAAAAATGAGGCGGGCGCGCGAATGCATGGCGAACGGGCCGCTGGGGGTGGTGATGGCTAGGCGGGTGGAATTATGTGTGTATGGGGTGCGAGGCCCGGAGCAGCTGCAGCCCATTTATCAGGGCCCTTCGAGTTGTCCACGCGAGGGCATGAGCACCATAGGGGCCAACAAGCCACCCGTCAAGCGCTCACGTTCTCGTGCTCACGGGTTTATAGTGGTGCCACGGGTTGGTGGACGTAATTTTCGGGTCAATTCCGATGCTATGGGTTTTCTAATACAACCATTTTTAGTATGATTTTTTCGGATCATTCAGATGCTAGATATGCGCGCACAACTCCGGACCGACCATTGTTAATTTATTTTAATAGATAGTTAAATGGATCAGGAAGAGCCACGTTAATTAACATAAAATAACCCGGCTCCTACTCTACTACACCTGCTATCCTCCTTTTTTGCATATCATTTTCTTCCGTGAGGCTTGTTCGAGCTGGCATTCCTTTAAGTCCCCCCGTGTAAGTCAATCTGGCACCATCACTACTCCCATCACTTCCCACCATTTCCGATTCCAACCCCCATCTACCCCTCCTCCTCCTCTTCTCCTACTCCTTCCACAACTCCCCTAATTGTACCTCAACGGCCAAGCCCCCCTACTCTACCCCCATGGCCTACCCGCGCTGTCCGCAAGCCCCCCGAATCGCTAATTCTTTTCCCAGACTCCATTTTTCCGTATGCTATTCACCGCCCATTCCCCTTCTCCGGAAGCTGACTAGGGTCGTATAGCAAATTAGGATTCGCTGTTATTGAAAGCGCCAATTAACCAAGGGGTGTGCCCTGTTTTTTGGTTCGAAAAGCCGGGGGAAGGGGGTGGTAATTATTTCGTGGCGAGGGAATTTGTGGTAAATACTGAATCCTTTAGCTGGCTATATTTCGCTTTTTTTACAGGGTTTCTTTGCAACGCGCCCACTTTCTCGCCTTCAAAAAGTGAGATCAACCAGCTAACAGACAGTCAATCACACCGGGGCAATGTACCCCGCGTGTGAACCGACCCATTAGTCCATTGTTTAGCGCTGTCAGTCTGGGGGTTAGTGCCTTTTTAGGTGTCAGAGGTGGGGGTGTGTGCTGTCATTGGTTCGTCTAAAGGGAGGGGGTCGTCGTGGGCCGGTCATCGGGATTCGGAATGGGATCGGGGGGTTGGATGGCTGAAGGCGACGGGTCCGGGCAGCCCATTCGCGCGCTCCGAATTACCCACCCTCATCCACCGCACCACCACACCGGCCCTCTTGCCCCCCTATTGCGCACCATCCACACCTACTGGCCGCTTATAGCCGCAGGGGATAATATCGATTATTTATGAATTTATCGGGATCTCCGGGGTATCAGTCGTTTGCTTGCTAACAACATCACAATGGGAAATGCCAACGTTTTCTTGATTTAAGGTTTATTTCACCTATTCACCTTAGGCCATTTTTATCAATGTAATTTGTATGGATCTGGTATAAATCAGAAATTGATATTTCAATATTATGAATATGTTACATTTAGGGTTTAAAGATAATCCTCATAATTTATAAACGTTTTCCAAAAAAATTGTAATAATTAGAATGTTATATTTGAATTTCGTTTTGTATTATAATTCGCCAGATGGTTTTCGAACGCAAAACTCATTTTTTAAACGTATTAATTAGCAATTTAAATTTGAATATTGACATCTGCGAATTCCTCTCAACCATATTGAAACCCCAAATTTTCGCAACTCATACCTTTCTCTCAGAAAACTCAGTGTGTTTTGTCCTGAACAATTTTGTATTCCAAATAGCACCTCCGCCTCAGAATACCAATTTCAAATATTTTCCGCCTAAAAGCCCAAAAACAATTATTTCCCAAGCCAACCGGTACACTCTATCACCGCCACCTATACTCCAGCCCGAAAAACTTCTTCCCACCGCAACTGAAGCTCTCCCCGGAAATTGAAAGCGGACGGGGCAGTCAAGGATGCAATTCCTCCTGAGTGTTGTGGCCAAGGGGCCCTGGGCCTCCGTTCGGCGGGCCCCCGGTGGACCCCCCGGTCCGATTTGATTATCCGCCACCCTCAGCCGCCCCAGAAATGGCCCCTCTACTACACCCTTTTCACACAACCATTCCCTTTATTTGTACTCGCAATCCCGGCTTGTCATCTCCGCTTCAATCAAGCTGCAAACCTCCAATCTTGCACCCATCTTCTTTGGTGTCCCATTATGGCCTCGGCCCGTTTGGGTCATTTTTCCAGTTTTTTTGCACCACCCGCGCACCTGTATGGGGAGGCGTCGTCCGTCCAATCCGCTGGCATCCCCAATTTGACCTTTCATCCGAAAACGCGTTCCCCTTTCTATCCTCCTTCCATTCTGCTAGCCCTCCTTTTTCGTGCCCTGTTTCCGAGGTAGCGCCGTGGGGGGAGGGCTTAGCTTTTAGGGCGTTAGGGCGTTTTGATCCCTGCGAAACCCATATGAAACGTCAAGAACGTTTTGGGGGAGTGCTCCGGAATTTCGGGGAAAAGATTTCACTTCTCGTTCGGTCTTGCTAAAAGCTAGATTCATTCTTTAGACCGTAATTGGATTTATTTAATCCATTTTTGCAGAGCTTGACAATGCTTGCATTTCCTTTTTTCATTTCTTTTTTTTTCCATTTTTCGGTTTCCAGCTTTAACTTTTTTTGTACCTAGTGTGTGTTCTCAATAAATTTTTTTTAATCCATCATTTTCATTGCTATTTTTGACGATCTCGCATTATCCTGCCCAATTTCTCGCGCAATAATATCAACGATACCCCCCATCCTACTTCATCCACCCCACCACCCGCTCCAGCCCAATTCGTTTGCAAATTCGAGCGTGTTGACCGTGAAATGGAGCGCCTCGCCGTTGCACCCTTCTCCATTCACTCAGGAAGCGGGCTATTCTAGTGTGAACATCTGTTCGGGCCCATGCCTTGGCAGCACTCAACCCCCCTCTATTCCGCCTCTTTTCCGCCGCTTTTCTCTCCTCTTTCACCTCTTCTCTTCGTGTCAGCCTCATTCCTTTGCTCTTGATTTTTTTTCGGAATTGACTCCTCCTTTTACCCTCTACTCGGCCAATCGGACCATATTCCAGGAGTTGCCGCCCGGTCCTCATCTGCCAGAGTCAAACTATGTGTAGAGAGCGGACGTTTTGAGAGATGCGGATAACTACAGCTATATTTTTAGCGCTATTCGTGCGGTTATTAGATGCAGGTTGGTGTTTTGAAGGGTTTTTAAAAGGTCAAACCAGGTTTGCAAAGAAATCGGTGTAGCTTTGGGGGGTTGTAGTGGAGGTGGTTACAGGGTCACGATAAGATCGGGGAGGGTTCGAGGCCGATTAATAGCCCATTAGGTGTCGGATTGAGTCGCCCGAATTATAGATATCATCTACACCGCTTGGTGGTAGTCGCTAAAGGACTTAGGGGGATTTAGATCTTTTTCCAACAAATTTTAGACATGAAACTCTAGCAAAATTAGAAAATCGATCACCATTCACAATCCTGGCTGGTCTAATAGCCAAATGACTAGTAAATGGGTTTGACGTCTGCCTGGTCCCATCTGCCCTCACTTTCCGGGATGGCCCAGGATCAAGGTCCCAAGGCCCAATTAGCAGCAGACTCGCCGCGCCCCAATCCCTGGATATCCCCCAATGAGACCCTAATGTAACTGGTTTTCTGGGGATCTACATTTTTTTCTAGCGCAGAAATATAATTTCTACATTTTCTAGTGCAAAATAATATTTTCTTAAAACCCGGAAAGTAACAGCCCATAAAAACTGCCAATTCCCTAAACAATCCATACCAAAACCCATGTGCCCTGCTGAAAAGGGCAAGATCCACACCAAGGGGAGGAGGGATGGCAAGAGAAATGAACGACCTTTCCGTGGGACAATTCCTCATTCGGGATATTGCATGCATGGGGTTGCGAAATGGGCACCCTTTCCCGGGGAAGAAGCCAGCAGCTCATGCCCCCTGGGAGCGACAAATTTCCGCACCGGCTAAGCTTGTTAGTGAGAGCGCTGAAAGCTCGAAAAATTGTTGTGGGAGCTCGGGGGATTTGGGTGTGAGAGTTTGCGAAATCGGATTTTGGAGTTGGGCAAAAAATCGGCAAAAAATGTGGGGTAAGCGGGAAGGCTTGACAAAATAGAAAAACAGCAAAGATTTCAATCAATTTGTGAGAACAAAAAATTTGTCTGATCTGCGAGATTTTAAGGGTGTTGGCAAGGCAACCGGCGGACGGGTTCGATATCGTTTGCGCAATGTGATAGCCCTTGCTAAAGATTTAGACACTTTAACCATGCCCCTCTGACCACTAAATATTTTGATATATTCATGTTCCACCCGACAAGCGCAACTTCTCATATTTCCGGGGCTGCATAACGTGAGAGCGCGGTCAGGGCTTTGACGGCGAGTGACCACCTGGCACGCTTTGAAATATTGGGTCCTGGCTGGGAAATAAATAAGCACCCTAAACTCGAAGGGGTCTGTCTCTTGGGGGGTACACACCTATAGTCCGGGATTTGATATACGGGTTGTGTAAATGGGAGGTTTCCTGTAAAGTTTATGGCTCTAGCTTGGGGTAGTAATAAGTAGGGTGGTGGTGGATGTGTATAGGAAATACGATTTCCTTAAATTGAGCTTCATATCAAGCACCTAAATTTTTATTTTGTAGTGAGCATGTAATTCTATAGTATGGAATCTTATGGCTATTTTATGAGGCTATAATATCGCAGCTCATGGGCCGACTCAAGCCGACATGCCGGCACTTGCTAGCTTAATTGCCCCGGCTAGGGCAGACTAGATGACGATCGTTTTATTGAAGCGCCTGCTCGTTCATAGATGACAGCGCCCCACCGGGAAACCCACCTAAAAATTGGGGGCTAGAATTATATGAAACTTTAGCATAACATATTTTTTCCAGAAGAAATAGCCCCGTTGATCATCGAGCACCCGCTTGATGTCATCGTCTCGAAGGGGGCACCGGCTACGTTGAATTGCGCTGCAAAACCATCTACAGCCAATATCACGTGGTATAAGGATGGAGTACCGGTAAGTTAAGCAACTTAATTTGGTTCTATCGTTTCTTCCAAAATCAAACTCAATATATTTTCAGGTGATCACCAACAAAGATCAACAAAACTCCCATCGAATCATCCTGGACACTGGCGCCCTATTTTTGCTACGTGTTAATAGCGGCAAAAACGGAAAAGATGGTGACGCCGGGACATACCATTGCGTTGCCCGGACGGCTCTTGGTGAAGCACAGTCCCGAGAAGCACACCTCAGAATAGCCATGCTAAGGGATGAATTCCGGACCCGGCCTAAGAACGTTCAGGTATCCCCCTATCCTGGGTCTCAAATAAAAGTACACTTCAGTCCCTCTCTGGCGAACGTGCAGTTCTCGAATGCTCCCCTCCAAAAGGCTTCCCAGACCCAGTCGTCAGTTGGAAAAAGGACGATCGAGACCTCAAAATCCATGAAGACTCACGGATGACCCTCCACCCAGACGGAAATCTCATCATTGATCCGGTGCGTGCAAACTCGAACAATGCATGATCCCCCGCGTCCTTTTTATAGGTGAATCACGGCGACTCTGGCACATACCAATGCATAGCCAATAACATGGTCGGCGAGCGGGTCAGCGCCCCGGCGAGGCTTTCCGTTTATGAGAAGCCGCAGTTTATTGTGAGTCCAGAGGGATTGGAAGAAATATATATTTAATTTTAGCAACAACCAAAGGATATCTCGGTTGAAGTCGGAGCTTCGGTGTTGTTTGACTGTCGAGTCAGTGGAGAGCCACAGCCGCAGATCAGTTGGAAGAAGCGGAATGATCAGATGCCATCAAATCGTGCTTATATCGCGAAAGATAATCGTGGGCTAAGGATCGATCGGTAACATCCGCAAAATATAGCTTATATAAGTTGAATTTTCAGGGTGCAAATCACTGATGAGGGAGAATACGTTTGCTTTGCAAGGAATCCAGCCGGATCAATTGAAAGTTCTGCAAGGTGGGCTAAAATTTAGAAGCTCTTATACGCAGTGTTTTAGATTACGCGTCCAAGCGCCTCCGACAATGACGACACGACCTGCTGATGTAAATATCAAAGAGGGAACAACGGCAGAGTTTGAATGCGCGGCTTCGGGACAGCCAGCCCCGAAGTTGTTTTGGAATCGCGAAGGTCAACAGGTAATTTTGACTTTCGTATGGTTAGTTACGCATATTTAATGAATTGGTTAGCGTGGTTGGCATTTTGACACGGTTATCTGATTGTTCGTAACGTGGTTTGAAAAACCCAAAAAGCAAAAAATTTCGACCGTGACAGGATTCGAACCTGCAATCTTCGGATCCGAAGTCCGACGCCTTATCCGTTAGGCCACACGGTCATGTGGGCCGGTCAGTCAGAGCCTGGAGAAAGATTGGGACAGTGATTACCGACGCTTTCTCGTCGGGGCTAGAACAATAGATATTGCAGCTTTTCTATGGAAGAAAAAATGCTGAATTAAGGCAATATCTAATTTTTTTTAGAACATTCTCTTCCCTGGCCAAACATCAGTCGACGGTCGCTTGAAAGTCACAGTCGACGGAAAATTGGTCGTTACTGAGGCGAGAACCATCGACGAAGGATCATACGTTTGTGCGGCTGTCAACACCGCAGGAAGTAGCTTGGCCAAGGCATCCCTCACCGTCATCCACGAGAAAGGTTGGTGCTTAAATTGTTTTTGTTGGGAAGGTCCGGTGTTTTGCCTTAAAAAACCACAACTCCATCAATGCAGTAGTCAGTTCCCTAGCCCTAAAACTCGAGGACAATCACTTTCCCTCCCTCTCCATCTTCCCCTCCTCCTCACTTCGAATTCCTCAAGTCTGGGCCGTATAAACGGTTTTACGAGCACCATGACCTCCATGAAAGCCGCACCGCCTTGCTTCCATCTGGATTCTTCGTTTCTCATCCCCCCTTCCACCACTTCAAGAGTTCCCCCCCCCCCCCCATTTTTTATGGGTTGACATCAATTTGTAGCAGCGGCGAGCCTATTTGGGCTGCGCGGAAACCTGAACCCCTGCCTCGCTATTTTGATACCCATAAATCCAAGGCTTCTTGGAGGATGCGGGGAGAAGCTATTAGGGACGTGCACAATTTGGGTAGGGGTGGGGGTGGGGAAACTAGGTGAATAGGGGTGTGGGGGAAGGTGAAATCCGGGATTTGTAGGGATTCCGTGCAGGGGAAGAAGCTCGAGATTCTAATTGGCACGCTTAGGCAGGGTTCTGGGCGGGAGGATACATAGTGGTCATCATCTTTCAACGGATGGAACAGGGTGTTGTCGTGTTGATGTTAGTATTTGGTATAGTAGCGCACTCTTTCCCGCTATTTTTAGCAATTTTAAGGGCTAAATCACAAGTTTTGCCTTCCCATATATTTCGATTCAACTTTCCTCAGTCTTTTGGGGTTTCGAGTGATTCTAAAATGTCTATTTTGCCAAACGCCTTCCATTCCCTTCCACCATCCAAATTTAGATACCGCCAAAGCGGTAAAATGACCGGTGAACCCCCTAGGGGTGTGAATAGCAAAGGGGCGGACGCGGTAGGGCCCTTTCATCCCATTCAATGACCCTCCTCGATGGCCTTGATCCGTAACGACACCATACGTCCGTGTGGCAACATGCCCCCAGGCCATTAGCACCTTCCGCTACCTGCCAACCTTGTTGTTGCAAATTTTTCATTTCATATCTTATCATTTTTTCTGTCTGTTCCTGTTTTAGCTTCGAATTTCGGGCAGCCCCTAGAATTTTCAGCTCTTTGTCAAATGCCAATTTGATCCTAACCGCCCATATATCGCAACGGATCCACTAGTAAACGCGGACCGGCTGCTCCCCCAAAACGAGCACCATATTGGCAGCAATTCGGTGAATTTATTTGACGTGCCACCGATGGCAGCCATAAAAACAACGAGCCGGGGTGGGGTAAGCGAGCGTGCCGTAATTTGCATGGCTGTGGCAGCCGGTGACCGTTTTTGCCAAAGACGGTGGGGGTGGGGGTGGATAAGGATGATAGGCGATGGGTATGGAAGGGTATAAGAAAAAGGGGGAGAATAGATTGATGGATGGGGGTGGCCGGGGATGAGACCCTCATGCACGCAATCCGCGCCACTTCCGAGTCGTCTTGAGTAACGCGGCGTTGGCACCTTTTGGGGGGTTTCGTGGGGTGGTACGTTCGTGTTTCATAAATTGCATATGGGGCCAGCGCTTTTGGCTATAGCTGGAATATTTTAAACATTAACTTAGACACTTTGGTCACGCCTGACGTTTACGATGTTTCTATTTTTCGATACCTGGAATCAAGGTGCGGATTTATCCCAGTTAATTACAAATCTAACCCTTAAGGCTTCTAGCTTTAGCTGGGATATTTTATTTGAGGGTATTTTTTAAAAAAATCCTTAATTAAGTACTTTGATTCTGATTTATATTACCAAAGTTTTAATTTTGCGACCCCTAAAACAAGATGCAAATTTTGAGCCTGACCTTTGTTAAGGTCAAATCCAAATTCCTCGAACCTCCTCATATCATACCACCAATTCCATAAATAATTGACACAAATCGGCGGCGCTCCGGATTCCCACGCCTTGTCGTCCCAATACGTTTCCCATCAAGCGCGAAATTTGCATTTCAACGTGTTCCCCATCCGCCCCTGGAGAGATAGAGAGACATTGAGAAACACACAACCCTGCTTGCTAGCCCCCTTACAAGGTCGCACTGCCGATCACCCCCCAGGGCGGCGCCATCCATCCATCTCCACCAAACCTAGCCTTAGCACCGACTTTCAGATCAATTTCCGGCCACGGATTATCCACACAGCATTAGGCTAAAATGCGGCAGAAACGGATTGGGGCGCCAGGGCTGGTTTGGTTGTGGGGAGGAAGGGGTGTGACCGGATGTGGATGGCTTTCCGCTACTTTCCAGTGTGGGGTATTTGGAGGGGTTACTTATTTTTTGTTTTGTCGATGTTCTTACCAATAGCCTTTTAACGTATTTTAGTCTGACACTAGGAATGGCGAACCTTTTTTAACCGTATAAGATCATGTTTTTGTTTTTTTCCCATTACCATAGCCAAACCCCCGGCTGACCCGTCTCCATTTGGGCCATGCAAGATCTCAGTCTTATGCAAATGGCGTCCTTTGTCGGTGCGGTAGAATACAGCAGGTCGGGATCCCAATCCCTCCTCCTCTTCCTCCTCCCGTGTAGGACCCATCCCTTCCTTCCCAACCCACCCGCGATCCTTTTTGAGATCACCGTTGGGTGCTCGAGCCGTCCCCATTGTGACGGACCGCCAGCATAAGCCATGTCGTCTCCTCCACCCCATTCGGCTTGTTTGCACCTAGTTCTTGCCCCCGTTGGATAAACAACAGCTTCCACCCCTCCCCATCTTGCACCCTGGCCTCCAGGCCTACCAAAAACGGAATTGTTTTCCAAACCCATTCCGACCTCATTACCAGGCTTTCCCATTCCCTCCCATTTTTTCTCACTTCCAGATCTTACCCAGATCCAGCCAGAAGCCAGTCCTATTAAGCGCGAGCCCATTTGTAGCATCTCTTCACCCTTCTTTCCAGTCGGCTTCTCCTGCACCCGTACTACAGACCAATCTCATTAGGCGAAGCATCGAAATGAGTGCTGCTGTGGCCTTTCGAAGCCGATGTGGGCGAGGGCGGCTCTGTTTTCACGTGTGGTCGGCAGCTCTGCCGAGGCCCGGGTGTGCACAAGGGTTTTTGTCCTGTTTCGGCCCACCCTTCCCACACCCACCCTCTCCCTTCTCCCCCCTCCTAAAATCCAACACGCCAAATGGCCCGATTTACTATTTGGGGCGCTGCCAGTGCGGTCGTACTGAGGATTTTAGGGTGGTTAAAGCAGGGGTGAATGACCTTGGCTCTGGTTTGCCACCCCCCATTTGTAGGGTACCAGTTTTTTGATCAAACAGATTTTGATCTCTGTCTCTCTATAAATTCTGCAGCACTTTCGGCGTCGTTGAATTTTGCTTGGAAGCCACTTCCGTCGCCAGCGCTTCCCACCCGGAGGGCCCTTCTAATGGCCCGGATCCTCCCCCCCAGACCCGGTTGGGTGCCACGATTTCCTGGCTCTCTCGTGACGCTTTTATGGACCTCTGATGGATTTGAGAATCCCGTCTCAGTACATTGGCTAACCCTTTTCAGCTAGTATTCAACAAAACGTACAAATAAAATTAAGTATAGTGCCTTTTAGATACCTACAAATTCCTAATGCTTAACTCTCAAGCATTCCCTACCTTTCTCGGCATACATTACCATTCTATAGCGCTTCTTTTCATGCTGCCGGCTTCTTTCCAAATTAAGGCCCCCGAGCTGGGGGGCTCATAATTGATTGTCACCTTCTGGCTGACAGTTCCATACCCACCAGCTCTTCCCCCCCACACACCACTCACCCCCATTGACCACCCCCTTCAATGCAAATGCAAATCTTTATTGCCCTGCCGAAGCGCCGAATTTATCGCCTCGCCATGCAGAGAGACTTTGTTTATACAGTGCCTTTCGTGCCAAATTTTGGCGGCTATCAGCTTAATGCAGCGTGTCCAATTCGTACTAATCTTCAGAATTTCCCTGGGACCCTAGGGTCAGCCCGTTCTCTTTGGATATTCCATAGATTTCCCCAATAACCTTGCGTGGCTAGGGGGATCCCCTCTCCCTCTGACTTTCGGGAGTCCTGGCGAGAAGCTACTTACTCGTATGACATATCACGGTCATCTAATCCCTAGGGACCCACACCCACTCCCTCTGCATAATCAATTTTACTAGCAACCCTTCCCCCTTTTTCCACAAAAACCCAACCGTTGCTAAGCTCAGCGACCCAATAAATCCTCAATGTCCCCCCGTAACCTTTACCCCCCCTTTGAGAAGCCAGTGGAATAGTGGTCACTCCCCGCCACCGCCACCACCTTTCCCATAAATCTTCATCTAGCTAAGCCGTGTAGTTAGCTCGAACGCTTTTCGGGGGGCCCAAACCCTGGCCCTTCCTCCACCACCAGCTCCGTCCCGACCCCCTATTACACAACCGACAGCGCGGGGCTCGGGCTCTAAGCAAGGGTTTCTCGATGTTCGAGGCCGACCCCCTCAATATTCCCGCCACAAATGCTGGGGGATTGTACTCGCAGCAGGTGCCCCTTCCGGGGGTTCTTATTTCCCGGGAAATCTGACAATAACATCCTTGCCTTCAGCAGGGTTGTTTAGAAATTCAAGAAAAAGCTGGGAGGGGCTTCTCCTTGACTCCACTAGCCGTGCATTCTTGATTTTTGGCGGAGGGTCTCTTTCAACCGTAAACTTTATTTCTTTTTAAATTGAGACTGACAGCTCTTTTTACTCGTGTTTCTGTGTTCCATAACGATATTTACGCCCTACAGTTCTGACCGGCTTACCGGAAACACCCTGCCCTTCGCTTGACCCTAATAACCCCTAGCCTCCCACCCTTATCGTCTTACACGTCGCACTTATCACTCTGGGACCTCACCCTACCTTCACCCCTTTCCTCCTCGACCACCGTGGCGAGCATGATTTATTTCAAGCCAGCCGTGCGCACCTCCCGCACATCCTAGCGCCCCCCTAAGCGCCTCAAGGGCATCCCAGCCATAACTGCAAAGAAGGAGGATTATTTCTCCGCGCCCTACCTTGCCAGTTGTCCCCTAAAAGTTGCCCTCCATTCGATCTATCGAGTTTTTTGCGTCGCTGCAAGCGCTTGACGTCCAATCACCTTTCTGTGTTTTTTTGCAGCTGCACAAAATTGATCACAGCATCAACCGCCTAGATTCAGACGTTTCTAATTTATTCTCGCGTTTCCACCCTTGTAACCTTCTCCAAAAAATCATCGATACCAAAACCAACACCCATTCACACCCAAACAACACTTCTCCCCCCAAAATGCGCAATCCCTTTGAGGAAGCGCAAACATTTGCCCCATCCGTCCCAATGAATAGCACCACGGCTCTTTATGCAAAAACGCTTTTTCCGGGCCCGTCCCGCATGCTTTTTCCAACGCTTTGTGGCATATTTGGCGGGGCACAGGGGGGTGGCTCGCGGCTCGACCATCGATTCCGCGTGTGGTTGGGCATGGTAGACTTTGCGTAATGATGCTCGCGTTCGGCAGGCGAAGAAATTGGGTTATTCATCGTTTGTGCCCCCTGTGGGCCCCTGAAGGGGGCCTTATCCTCCCTGGAGTCATTTCCCTCCTTCCATATTGCCGAAATTCGCTCGATATCTTCTATTGCTGCCTTCTCCCTTTTCGTGGAATTTTTAAACTTTAGAATTGTGGAAAATCAATGTAGACGGGTGCTTTGAAAAATGGTTTTTGGCACATTTCTCAGCCTCACATCGGCTTTGTCGATGTGCTCGATGAACGGGACTAACTGCATTGATGGATGTAAGAGTCAAAATAAAACCTTTTGGAACTAATAATTAGTAAATAAATTGACTGCTTCAAATATCTGATTATTCGTATATTTTAGTATCAACTCACCCTCCTCCTATCATCGAACTCGGCCATGTTAACCAAACAATTATGGTTGGAGCATCAGCTATTCTACCTTGCCAGGTAAAAACCAATTTTGATTTCGATTTGCATGTCAATTCTAGGCCTCCGGACGTACACCACCCTCAATCACCTGGCTAAAGGACGGAATGACCCTGGAAATTGCTACCACAGACCGGTTCAGCCAGCATTCAAGCGGAAGCCTCCAGATCGCGGATCTAACGTAAGCGCACTAACAAAAATATACCATAGACTTTTTTTAGCAAAACCGACTCTGGCGTCTACACCTGCGTTGCGAAAAACGCTGACGGCGAAAGCACATGGTCAGCATCGCTTCTTATCGAGGAACACTCGAACCCGAAGATCATCTTCTCGAGGATGCCAGACCCAATCGCATTCCCCTCGGCGCCGACGAAGCCAACCGTCGCGAATGTTAGCGATACCGAGGCTGATCTCGAATGGTCGCCACCGGATCGAAGTGGAGCGTCTGTCATTACTGGATACATCATCCAGTATTTCAGCCCGGAAATGGGAGAGGTTCGTAATTATCTCCCAGCTCAAATTACCCAATCCTTGTTCTAGACATGGTTCAACGTACCGGACGTGATCACAACCACAAAACATCGAGTCCAAAACCTACGACCCTCTTCTTCCTTTGTCTTCATCGTCCGGGCTGAAAATGAGAAAGGCCTGGGTGCCCCTTCAGAAGCCAGCTCGGCAATCCAGACCTTGGATAAGAATTCTGGAGGTGATCGCGCAAAAAATTATTTCTTTACCTTTCTCTAGTTCCCCTCTCCCTTGAATCCTTGGACCTCGAGACAGCTCGACAACGTCTCACCTCCGATCCACTGATTCGCCTGGAAGAAGTGAAGACCATCAACGCAACGGCTGTCCGTCTGTTCTGGAAGAGAAGAAAAATGGATGACCTCATCCAGGGATATTATATCAAATGGAAGGGTCCGACGGCCACGCTGAATCAGTAAGACTGCCCGCTAGGTGATTCATAACTCGGGTTGTTTTGCAGATGGGTCAATGTCTCGGGCGCGAACACCGAGTCCTACGTGGTTGGGGGACTGCTGCCGTTCACGAATTATGAGTTCTTCGTCATCCCGTACCATCGTCAGGTGCAGGGGACGCCGTCGAATTCCATGGATGCCATTACGGCTGAAGCTCGTATGTTCTAGTTTAAAAAACGTCATTGAGGAGTTTAGCTCCATCACTTCCACCGACCGACGTCAAAATCCGTATGCACAACATGACAACGTTGAAGATTGGGTGGAGGCCACCACCTCCGGATGGAATGAATGGAATCTTGAAGGGATTCCAGATTATTATCCTTGGAAAGGTAGGTTAAGGAAATCGTAATATAGCATTTTTTTTTATAGGGAACCAAGTTCAACCGCAACATCACAACCAACGAACGCGCTGGTTCGGTGACGCTCTTCCATCTGCAGCCCGGAATGACCTACAAGATTCGGGTAGCGGCCAGGACCAATGCTGGTATCGGCGTTGCACACGGAACGGACGTTGTGACAATGAGTAAGTTACAAAAATAGAGTATCATTTTTGGTCTTTAGATGAAGAAACGTTGGCTCGGCACCTTGAGGCTTCTTCCGAGCACGAGTCGTTCCTCTACAAGATCGTATCCACAAAGTTCTGGATCATCTTGTTGGTGATTATGGTGTGGCTGGTTGCGACAGCCGCCGGAATGGCTTGGTGGCTATGCAAGAGGAAGGATAGTACATGCGCGGTATCGATAATTACTCGACATTTAACAACATATTTTTCCAGCCCGAGCGTATGGGTCCTTTCATCAAGATCAACGACGGTTCTGTACATTCAAACGCTATATGGCAAGATATGAACGGCTATAATACAGCACAACGTATTGCTATGGTCCAAAGGTAATCGATCTAATTTGTTTTCTATTAATGCGTGTAGTTCCAGGAACCCGCCGCTGTACTCCATGACACCAAATCATCATGATTTCTATGGGCAGCACGTTCATTGTGATGAATATCATGGTGGAACATTGGCCCGACCACCGTCAGAGCAGCATTACCATTATGCACAGTTGACGGGAGGCCCAGGAAACCCAATGTCAACGTTTTACGGCGGACAGGTTCGTTTTTAATTTACAGCCACTGGATTCGCCGCCTTTTAGTACCAAGACGACCCATCGCCATATGCTACCACGACTCTGGTGATGTGCCAAGAGCAACCAGCCTGGCTGAATGATCGCATGTTGAGAGGAGGACCCGCGCTACCGATGGGACCGATTCCAAGTGGACCTCCAGCAAGGTAATGATTCCTAGAACCAAGAATTCTATCTATAAACATCAGGTACACGGAGCAAGGCACTGCTGGCAGAAGATCGCGAGGCTCTCGGGCTTCTGAGCGTCATCTCGGAAGTCACCAATCCGACAGTCCACCACATACCGATGTCAGCTACGTGCAAAGCTCCGATGGAACTGGCGGATCATCTGGAAAAGGCAGGAGAAGCCCACCAAAGAATTTGGTAGACATCCTGCCCCCACCCCCAGGAAACCCACCGCCACCCCCAAACGCGATGGATGTAAGTGAAGCCTAATAATAGCACACCCAAATCATTTCTAGGCCCTACGACGCCGTCTCGATGACTACGACCGCGTCTCGGACCATCTTTTACACCAGGGCTCACCGCAACCCCGCCCTGTCCCACAGCCCGACCACCTGGACTATGACATAAGCGCGCGGCCGACAAGCAGAAATCGGACATCTGGTGCGCGGCCCGACCCAATGACTGATGATGATTGTTTTAGGGGGCCGCCACAGGAATTCTGGGAGTCGCGACGACGATAGTCAACGGTCGTCGTTGATGGAAGATGCCGATGATGCGGATTGTGAGATTTCGGATACAGAGAGGCGAAATGTGTCTGATCGGCCTGAGGGTCGAGGAGGAAGTACCGGGCCTCGTCGAATGCCATCGATGGGGACCGGGGCTTTTAAGGCTCAGAATGAATGTGAGTCTATTTCAAAAAACAGTAATTGATCTTTTCATAGCCAAGCAACCTCCCTTACTATAATATATGCCAAAACAAAAATTTATTTATAGAATTTCAGACGAATCTCGTACAAATAGCCGAAGTCTCCACCGAAATCAACGACCGAGTCCCGGCCACTAAAGTCATTCCACCAAAGAGATCTATCAAACATTAGCCATTTTTCCACTTTCTTTATCTACAATTACGGGTACTGCCATTTCGCCATCCTGTAAATACACTGCTTGAGGTTTGTGAACCGACCGAGTGGGCCTTTTTTTACTTTTTTCTTGTTGCCCCCCACCCCCTTGAATATTCTGGTACTTGCATATCTTTTGAAAAGAAACCTCTCCAGCTTTTCCTTGTTTCCCAAAATAACCTGCTCAACCAGTAGGGAACCCTTCCTTCCTTCCTCATGAAGCAGTTCAGGTGTGATCTCTTTCTTCTCGAATCTAAAGCCAAATTCCATTATTTGTAGCTGGTGCAACCAGAGTTTTTCTTTTCTTATATTGTCAATGGATACGGTTCATTTTGACTACTCTCCCTTACCACTTTGTTCTTTCATCCCTTTCACTCAAGATTTTTCTCGCTTATTTATGGAATTTATGCAATAAACGATTAGTAAAAATTACGATGAACGAGGAAAAGGAAACACAAGAATGCGGTTTTCCGGGGTTCGGATTGGGGGTTGAGATGAAAGGGGTAAATTATTTCAGTTGACCTGTCACAGCGGTCTAATGAGCGGACCCGGGGACTAGTCTATCGGATTATTTGTAAATTCCTCTTTACCAGTCAACTCCAAAAGATAGGAAGTCATCCACCCATGCAACTTTTTGCATGATTTTCTCAGTTCCAAATTCGCAGCAGGGTTTTCAGGACTGTTTCCCAGCCTCCAACCCCTAAAATGACAACTTTGTCGCGTGCTTCCCCTCAAAAAGACCCTTTCAAATCCGCCCCCACATCCGACGACACCAATTTGTTGATTTCCGCCCGGGACAAAGGTTCCCCCAGCACTCAGCCTTGGCACAAAAGTTTTACGACCTTAGAACACATGGAGAAACTGAACGGCTCTGCTGAAGGTGCTGGGGGAAAAGATCTTTTCCGAGTATCCCAGATAGCATTCCACCCACCCACCACCCCTCCATTTTCCGCCAAATGAACGAGTGAAAGGAGATTCCGATAGGTTTTGAGTTGAGTCAACCAAGCGGACGGTAGTAAGTGGTAGTTTCCCGCCGGCCATTATTTACAGTTCCAACGCCCCTAACTCATTTCTGAATTTCGAAATGAGCTTGCACTTGCACGTCTAGCCGATTTGGGCCCCAGACAGATCGGTTCGATAGATTGGCCGCCGTCTATTCGGTTGTTTTGAAATGTCGTCAGTACCTCGTCCCGATTCCCCCGAAAAAAGAAGGGCCAGATGGGCGGACCCTCCGTTCGTGATGTGATGTATATATTACACCCATTGCCATTTTTTCGGAAGCTGGAATCCGGGGCCCTCCCTTCGAAATCCAGACAGATTTCGCCGAGATAAGCAATCCTCATCCAAAGTCCTCTTTCTTCTATTTTGCTTTGTGGTCAGCTGGGGCTCTTCCATTTTCTGTGGTATTCTTTCTAATGTAGGGGAATTGCAGAAGGAGGAGGCAAGGTGTCGTCACCCTCTCGGCGTTGATCCTCCTTGGGGCACTTCATTAAGTAAAAAGCCCTTGATCATGATTGTGGGTTCCGGGGGTGTAACAAAGAGCTATGCCCCTATAGGGGGTGGGTGCCCAATATTTTATGCCATCTTGAGGGAGGGTATTGTGGGCACAATCCGGTCTGGCCACCCGGCTGCACGATTTGCATCACAATATGGTGGTGTCAGTCAATGCGTATCATTTAGGAAATTGGTAGTCTTCGACTCCGGCTATACGGTTTTCGATATTGGAATCCGATTTTGTCCCTGACTTTTAGCATCTTTTTTGGGTTCTTCTTTCAATTGCTTAAGGCGATTTTTGTTGGACCTTCCGGAAACGAACCACTCTGAATTTTAATTTTTCTTATTTTGATTTAATAAACAGATCTATTAATACGTCATAGCGCATTCCCACATTCTAAAATTACCAATCCATGACTCTTTTTCTTGACCCATTTTATCACCTTTTCCATCCTAATAGATCACTATCAAAACTGAGACTCCCTGCGACGTGCAGGTGCCAATATTTTCACAATTAATCATCTCCAACCGGGCGCCAATTCCTATTTTCTTGCCGCCAACATCCCGATCTATCCCTTATGAACAACCATCCACACTCCCCTTATATCCATCCCTCCCATTCGTATCGTGTTCGAATGGGTCATAATAGGCGTGATCCCGGGAACCCATCATTTCCACATGGGCCCCGATCTACGGCCACTTTTTCCGGGTCCGGGGGGGTTGCCCCCATCGTCTGGGGGATTTCTTCGAGCCCTCGACACCCCATTCAATGTACCCCATTTTTATGGCGAAAATTATGGAGAGCCCTCTTGGACGTGAGAATGACCTCCACAAACAACGAGAATCGTGGGAACGGATGCGCGGCTGGTGGATATCGTGTCGAAAAATGACATTGCCAGTCTGCCACCACTTGCTATGACAAGTTGTCGTCCTATCGTGGTGGGACTCGTTCCATTTTCCGCCAAAAAGTCAAAATTGTCATTTAAATTTGGTCTCTTTCATGTATGACTTTCCGGGGGCCAGATGCACATTTCCTAGTTTTTTCAGCTCTAACGAGCGCTTTTTGGCCTCATTGTCCGTCCCTCCTTCGCCACCCGTCCATCCCCCCTTCCTCAAGCGTCCAGCTGCACATGGGCATTTCATCTTGATTTCCGAGCCGTCCAGTCGGTTGGACTAATTTCGGCGGCATACCCCGCCGTGTTTTCAATTTAAACGGGCACTCGGCTCGTTCTAAATCTTTTGCTTGGAATAATTGGAGTTTTGGATACTACCGTAGTCCTAGGAGGTGGGCCTGAATCTAACCTGCTAATCAAAGGCCTATATATTTCTTTAGCTTTCCCTCTTTCGTGTGATTTTTTCCATTCAGTACCAAAAATGCTATGACCGCAATTTTCTCACTTCACCCAACAATCTAAAATTCCGGTTTACTCCTCTTGACAAATTCCTCTAAACTCAGATGTCATCCATCCCACTACCCAAATCCTCCAATTCCTCCACCCCCCAACACCGTGGTGGTCCTCCCCCCTTTGGGTCAACATCCAACCATTGAAATGTGTGCTTAAAAATGCCCTTCCCGCCGCTAGTTTGGCCGGCGCTCTGAATAGCCAAAAGATGCAAAAACGCCCGGGGTTGGTTGCACAGCGCCCTCCTTCTTTGCGCCGAGATTCTGATATATTGCGCACAGAGAACGTTGCAGGGGAATACTAATCGTTAGTGTTGCCGCCCGAGCTTCCCAGCTTTTTCTGGGGGATTTGAATTTGTGTGCGTGTTTGGCAGTTACGCGGCGGGGCCTTGAGGGACCCACTTTTCAATTTCGGCGCCGGAAGAAATTGGTTGTCGGGTTCGGTTAGGGAAGGTGGAAAAATGAGCGGTTGGAGACACCTGCCAGTCGGAGCGGCGAGGCTGTTTCCGCGCATGGGTTTTTGCTGTATGCAACATTTGGTCGGGGTGGATATAGTCTTTGTCAGGGGGGAAATGGCCTTTCGAAGAATGTTTTTGCGAGTTAGATTCTTCTGTCGAGATATTTGTTAATGTCACCATCCCCTTAAAGCGCCGGCAAGGCTTGCTTCTGGATTTTGTGCACACGCTTTTTGGCATGGTTCCGCGATACGTAACGTTTAGGTTTCTAAATCTTCGAATCTTACGCAATGGAAACGCGCCTCCGCGTTGCGTGCTCGCGTGACGTGTCACGAGACTCATGGGAATTCTGGAGCTAAAATTCATAGCTATTACATGCTAATTCCTTTCAAGGGATGCAAGCTCGATGACTCGCCGGACAGCGACTTCGGTTTCTCTTTCATGCGGCAACTCTTGTCCATTTTTGTCATAGCGTAATTAACCAGCCTTTGCCAATTGTAGATGAGGCCTGACCTTGACGGACCTTCCATACCCCTTTAAACCATTTTCTAATGACCTACATTCCTGCCACTTTCAAGCCTCAACGATCATCCACAAGTCCTCATCCCTCCCCCTTGACTTATCCATGTTTCTTTTCCCCCTTCTATGTGTCGTCGATCAAGACGACGGGAGCTCTGAATAATGACCTGTGTGCCCTCACCCCCTTCCCCCTACATTCGCACTGCTGGCCCATCCCACGGCCCATTTCGCGCGGCGGATTTTGGCTGTGCTGTTTCGGGGGGCAACTACAACTCTTCCCCCTTGTCACTTCACCCCCCACCACGCACACTTTTTTATGGCCATCCATACGGATGTCCCAAAGTGCTCGGCGTGTGTGGTTTTTTGGGCTCTCACAACTCGCTGGCTTCAGGTGGAATTTATGATCTTTCGAAAGTTGCGCGTTTTGAGCATGGGATCCCCAACTCACATCTTTTATCCATGAAAGAATCAAAGCCAATCAAAGAATTCTACACGCTTAGCTACCAATTGCGGCATTAAACAAGAAATATTTTCCGGAAATTGTCAATTTATCCGCCAATCCAGAACTTCCTACCTTTCCGTACCTCTGCCTATTTTTAAAACTACTCAATATTCCGAGCCCTTCCTTCTTATGTTTTCGCCACGATTTCCCCGCATATCCGCCATATATGTTCATCTCACACACCCCAAAGCTAGTGCCTCCCCCTTTTTTGCCCGAGCCGATCTAAAACTATTTAGGACCTCCCTTTCCCTTTAGGCGCCCATCCCTCTAGCCAACAGGAACACAAAGACCCTTCCACCCCCAATTTTTTGCACCTCCACTTCCGTTCCTTTCCACCCTCCGAGAGACGCCGTGTGCGGTCCCTTATCTATTTCAAAATACCCAGTTCTTCCGATGGTACGCAATCTTCAGACGAATCGTAAAAAACATTCCGGGGGTCAAATTACGGGTGTCGGGCGAACGGTGGGCGGTTGTTTATGGGTGTTGCTTGGAAAGGCGTGCAGCTTTTTCCTGGAAAATGGGAACGTACATGTCGCTGGCGGGGCTTCAGTTTGTTAGCTTTATTTTATTTTTGAGGGTGTGATCGCTCTTCGGTGACAGCTTATAGTAAATAAAGAGGTTGCCCGGGGGGTGTGAGAGCGGGGGGTGCGGGCTTCTTGTCGTCGGCAGCTGGCTTTTCTTGTGGCGTTTTATTTTTGAGTAGGTTGTGCATCATCGGCATCGCTTGATGTTCGTGTTTCCACGGGCTAAAGATGCTTTAGTTGGTAGTCTTTCTTGCTTTAGATTTTTGGAGCGGTATTCATGGTATAGTTATTTGCATTCAAATCAGTTCGTTCGTCAAATTCGTAGACAAGAGGTTCAGCCCGTTGAACAGATTTCAATTCTGGCCGATTCATTCAAATCATCGAATTTCCTGCCGATTTTTTCCAATTCCGAGATCGCATTTGAATAACCCGAACGTCCGCTCGATCTGAATCAGAATAACAACAACTCTAGTCCAAGGCCATCTTTTGTATGGCCAGACGAGGTGCAAGACCGTAGCCCGAGATCGGCATCCTTTGTCTCGAGCCGAAAAACATCTCCTCTTTCTATTTTTTGCCAATCGTTTCCCATGGCGCAGTGCCCATTGTGGGCCCTCCGCCCATTTCCACCAGCATACCGTGTCCGTCTCTTCGTTCATCGCGCCCTCCTACCTATCCGCCCCATTCATCCACATTTCCATACTCCCCCATTGACAGAAGCGCCAACCCATGCGGAAACAAATTGACAGCCTTCGCCCGCTCACCCCGTAATTCCGAATCCGTCCTGGTCGGGGCGTAATGGGAGCCCTTCAGGTTGTCGGGGCTTTGAAATATCCATATTCATTTTTGATGGTGTAACGGATGTATTCCCGGATGGTCGGGCATCAGGGAGCTTTAAATTGTATATTTTCTAGCAGGTTTATATAGCTAGTATTTTATTAATTCTCGCGATTCAAAGTCTATGGTAATCTTTGGAAGATAGCGTATATGTACCTTTGTATTCATCGTCGTTCAGTTTCTGAGATGCTTCTTCTGAAACGATGCACATATCAGTTTTGGAATTGAAAAAATGTGAAGGTTTTGACGTTTTCTATGTGAAATTTGGTAAGAATTTATCGCCACTATTTGTTAGGAGCTGATTAACATCCGCCTGAGATTGTGGTAGGACTGACACAAAGCGGTCGCTCAACCTTGACTCTCCCTTAATTAGGACACCAGATTCTGACGAGCTTTTTTCCGGTGTCACCCAACCCACTCTTCTTCCACCCCGGGTCCCATCCCAAAACTCCATCCTTTATCCACCCGTGAATCTACTTTCCCCCTCCCCCATCCTGAATGCCTCTCGCCTATTATATGCTGCTGGCAGCGCTGTCAACTCCCAAACCGATTCCTCTTCCAAGTTTATACTCCATCCGGACCCCCCGTTGTCCATTCCAATGGTCGCTTCAGAAATACGGGTCGTGCCATGAGGCTGCTCATTCTCTTCTTGGCCATACCATCCGCCATGGGGCTTTTGGAACAGTTGGCCATGTTCAAAAAATGGGACATCTTGACCCATACCGCCGGTGAAGCATTGTAAGTTTATATGTTTGAACTTCACTTATTAAAATGTGCAGATTTACTCAACCAGCTTCACAAAAATGTTTTGGATATGGGCTGAATTTTGATTCCGACCATGACTCTTCGAGTACAATCACATACAAAGGAATTCAGGTGCTTTTTGTAATTTTTAGTTTGTAAAGTTGAGTTCATACATCTTCGGCCCAATAATAATTTACGCTCTTTTTTAGGGCTCCAATATCACAGCCAGCGTCCTCGCATCACTAAAAAATTATTGCGAACGGATAGCACCACACTACGTCAAAGGATATGAAGAGCTGCCGATGATCCTAAAAGATCTTGATGATATCAACGTCGGAGACGATCATCTGGTCCTCAAAATACCTGTCAAATGTAATGTTTATATAGCTTCTATTTAATATCAGGTTGGATACTAAGTTCTGTCACAATTTTTTTTTTTTTTTTTTTTTTGTGGAGTTGTGGATTTATTTTTTTTTTTTTTTTTTTTTTTTTTTTTTTTTTTTTTCTTTTTTTATTTTTTTCCCTATTCTCTTGCTAAGTTTTTGGATTTTGTTTTTTTATTTTTTTTTTTTTTTTTTTTTAAAATTTTTTTTTTTTTTTTTTTTTTTTTTTTTTTTTTTTTTTGTCTTTTTTTTTTTTTTTTTTTTTTTTTAGTTTTATTTTTTTTTAGTTTTGTTTTTATTTTTTTTTTTTTTTTTTTTTCGGGTTTTTTTTTTTTTTTTTTTTTTTTTATATTTTTTTTTTTTTTTTTTTTTTTTTAAATTTTTTTAAAATTTTTTTTTTTTTTTTAAAAAAATAAAAGTCTTTTTTTTTTTTTTTTTTTTTAAATGTTTTTTTTTTTTTTTGATTTTTTTAAAGGTTGGATTATTTTTTTTTTTTTTTTTTTTTTTTTTTTTTTTTTTTTTTTTTTTATTTTTTATTTTTTTTTTTTTTTCTATTTTTGTTTATATTTTTTTTTTTTTTTTATTTTTTTTTTTTTTTATTTTTTTTTGTTTTATTTTTTTTTTGTTTTTTTTTTTTTTTTTTTGTGGTTTTTTTTTGGTTTTTTTTTTGGTTTTTTTTTTTTTTGGGATTTTGGTTATTTTTATGGTGTATAAGTTTAATAAATCCTAAAAATCAAAGATTTAAAAATCGGAGATTTTAAAGGGTGATTTTATAAAAATGGAAAATTAAAAATAAATTAAATTGTTTTATTTTAATAGTTATATTTTTAGCTGAGAGTGAGCTGGATGATTACGACTATGAATTGACGAAGGAAACGGCAACTCGTGTCATTGACTTGAGAAATGTTTTTACCGACTTGGACAACGGCCATTATGAGAATTTGCTGACCACGCCGACCTTGCAAGATGTAAGTCATAAGCTGATGTGTTAAGGAATATTTTTAGATTATCACAAATTTCATTGCAAATCACGTTTCGGACGTTGCTGTGAAGCATGTTCCACTCGAATATGCCCTTGCAAAGGTTGCTACTGTTCGGCCCGCCAAGTGTGACGCAAAGAAAAAGGTAAAATAAACAATAATTTAAATTAATGATAATCTTTAGAGCATCAGTGTGCTGATCTGCTTCCCAATGCTCGACTTTTTCCAGGATGGGCACGTTGTCGAGGTATCGATCCTTAAATTTTCTTAGATCTTTTTTGAAGGTTGTGCACCGGGGCCAATTCATCGAAGTCGAGAATGAGACGATCTATGCTCAAGTCGGGCTCCCGTCCCACGTTTTTGTCCCGAGCTCCCTAACCAGCCCGATTCTCCCCATCGATGTTGCTCAATGCACCCGCCCGGTAGGCTGACACTCAATAATACCAGCGACAAATCCAACAACTAAAAGCTCTGTTTAGGAATTTTTGAACGATTATACTTGGGCGGTAACGTTTATTCTGTTAAACAGGTCTCTTCACTCACTTCCACCCGTTTGATCTATCACCCGAGCTCTGTCAAATTAAACTCTTGCCTGGCTAGCGGATAGTACTGTAGCTAAAAATGGGAAAGCTTGTGCTGCAGATTCACATTGGTTTCAATGATGGGATTTTGTGTTTATAGTCGAGGAGCGATTTCATCTGCCCGACTACCGCGTTGCTGCCAAAGAATGAGTGCTTGCCACCATCACTGAAGAATTGTCCGGTTATCCTCGCTGACTCGAGGATGCCACCAAAAGTGCGAGTGTTTGGAGATGGATATGTCGTCAAATCTTTCCACACGGTAAGTGGCTGAAGAAGAACGAACTTATCTTTCTCATTAATGTGCGCATCGAGACATTGATCCATTCTGACCTCAGCTGTAACGATAGCTTACCATTAATGCATCATTTACCCTCGAGCTTTAGCAAATCGAGCAGCAATGTGACGGCAACACTACTTCCATGGAATACACCTTCCCGATCAACCTCTGGTTCCGTCCCTTAAACCATTGCTTCTTCATGATCGGGGAGGCTATCGAATTCCTCTCCCTCCCGGGATCCGATTCCTTTGAGACAATTTTGGAGAACCTGGTAAAGAGTCTTTTTAACACGTTTACAACAAATTTAGATGGAATTCCGGCTGTCATCTGAGGTGCTTGACGGTTATTTCTATGAGCGATTACCTGGTGTGCAAGAAACTGATTCTCATTTTGAGAACGTTTGGAGGCATCAGAGAAAGGTAATCCATTCCTTGACGCTTAAAGTAAAACAAAATTTAGGCATTGTTCGTCAGCGACGTCATTGGTAACAAACTGGTTGTTAGCGAGCGTGGGCACGATCAGAATTTGATTAGCGAAACCCGAACCGCCGAGAGTAAGCTGAGTCGGGAGTCACCACAGTCTGCCACTCAGCCGATCTCCCAAAACGCTTTGATCATCATGGTTGCTCTTTCATTGCTTCTTTCGATTATTTCTACCTTTATTGCGCTTTACTTTTCTTGCAATCATCCTCGGCACCAAAAGTTGGCCGTTCATGCCTAAAAATCTTGCATTCAAACCTTCTACCAACCAAAGGAGATGTTTTGGTTTATGGCTTTACATATTGTAACGGTTTTCGAAGACGCAGTGAGCTCAATCAAAAATTACTTTTTTTTATTTAAAATTGCCAATTTCGATTCCTTGAGACTAGCAAAAGACTTGCCGTTTTGTCTCTCAAATGTCTTTATTTTGCATTTATTATCACCATTTTTTATACTACTAATCTATTAATCTATACAACAATCCATTTAAAACCATGAAAAATTATGCGTAATATACTTCACCATTCAGTTGATCCAGGTCTACCCTTCCTCCTCCTCTGTATCTTATTATATCACTCCCACACTACAGAATTTCATGTTCAACCTTACGAACAGCTCTTTTTCTTTACGGTGCAACACGGGCCCTCAGTAATAAATTCACTTTTTTTTGCTAATGAACTGTTAACACAAGCTGTTAACAAATAAAAGCACATAAAACACACAAATACAATTACAAAGCCCATGATTGGACCCGCAGGTACTCGCGCACTAGGGAAGAACGATGTGCAAACAATAAATATGTAAAACAACCTTAGGATTGGAACGATTGCAGAAGAGTACAAAAACCGAGAACAAGGGTTTGGTTTTGAAAAATTGGTCCCTAAGTCAAAGTAGAAAGTTTTTGGAGTGGGTAAAAGGATTTGCAAAAATTTACAAATCTTCTTTTGGGGCGTCACTTATTTCAATGGTTGTAATTCGGGTGCTTCTAGTTGGAGTGAGAAACTGGACGGGGCGTAGATTTTTCTCGATTGATCGATCAATTGGTGATTTTGAGTGGCGACGGTCTCTGCAAAATTCCCATCTAGACCTTCAAAATTTCCGAATTAAATATACCTAGATCCAATCGCTTGCTCGGCTCGGAAGGAGCTGCGCATTGAGCGGAATGAGTGACGGAGACTGTTGAACATTCGTTGGGACTCCAGAATTAGGGATTGACGCCTAAAAGCTGAAGTAAGACCTGAAGAGGGATCCACGCAAAAAGGCTTGGCTGAGAAAGGTTGGTGTTGAAGGGGCGGCAAAAAAAAGAAGAAGCAAATAAAAATTTAATCGAAATAAAGCAAATTAGTAAGAATATAAAAGAAGTCACGCACGATACTGGACCTTTTCAAGTTTTTAGTTAGAAAACCTTAAATCAGCCAAGCCTTTCAAAAAAATCAAAAATCCAAAACGGGGTTGAAACGCGTACAGGGATGGGTTTTTAACATGTCCGTGGGGTAGGTTGGGGGACATGCTGTAGCACTTCAGGACGGTGTTGCGGTGCGCCTGAACGGAACGCTTCATGCTAGGGGAATCAAAAATCGTCGGTGCGAATCAGCAACGTTAAAAATAAGTCAAACCAGGAAGATCCAATAATTTTTTCCCTACTCTCTGGGCTTAGTAATGTCAAGCAAAAAATGGCATAGCAAAATCACTCATGCAAATAAGATGATTCTTAAAATTACCGATTAGGGTAGGCTACAGATGAATATTCCATAGCGACACCGCTGGTGTAGCGGGCTGGTGGCCTTGGCATACAGCGCAGCCAGTTGTAGTAGATTTCGGTGAATTCTTGGCGAAAGTTGGTGTTTAGGAAACTAAATTTGGCGTAAAAAATTGATATGAAATTACACTCCTTACCCATAGAGGAATGGGTTAACACAGATTGAGAGCATTGAAAGAACTTTGCAAGATTGGTCGATGTTTTCGATGAGATCGGTTTGCTCGTTCTGTAAACGGCAAGACGCTAGTCAGAAGTAAGCGTGAGATTTACCGAGCTGCCATGAAGGATCCCCAAATCGATTAACATAGTGACAACCGTAAACGGTAGCCAAAGGATAGCGTAGCTGCCAGCCATGGCCACCAGCAACCCAGTAGTCCTTGAACGCCGCTTCTCGCTAGCCCTTTCGGCAGTCCCCGGTCTTGGCTTCGGCAATTTCTTTGAAGTTGGTGTTAAACATTCTGGCGATCTGTCACCGCAGCTCTAAAATCAGAACAACACATTTAAATTTCTCGGTACACTCACCCTCTCACTCTCGGCTTGCAACAAATCCCTAGACCTGTTCAACCGATTCCGACTCATTTGATTCGCATTATGCTTGAGGAAACGGGTCAATTTCACGTTGAAAATCGACAACACGATGAGTGGGATCACATAGAGAAACGCCGCCTGCATCACCGACATTACTAGCTGGACAAAACGTTGTTGCTATACACTTTTCACATGCCTGTACGGAGTCGCTGTTTGTACCGGAAGTGATTTGGCACTGGCGCCAGCCGTATGATTGGATGGCTTCGGTGCCATTGTCTGTGATCACTGGCACATCCTAAAAACAAAGTAGTTCACTTTTTTTTGGCGCGATCTTCTTTCTATGGCCTGCCCTTTTCTGCTTCCGCGCGACAAACCAACATTTGCCTACATCGAAGACAACTTTTTCACACCTTCCCGGGCCCTGCATGTTAATAGATCTAATTACCCGGTGGCACTCAGCTTCTTACTAGCCTTAATCCCGCACTGGGATGCAGTGCCTTCCAAACAACCTTAATAGACCCTATCGAAGGCTATTATTTCAATTATCGTCTTTTCTGTTCTCAGTCCCCCGCTCGTCATCACCCGTTTTTGGGAGTGAAATGAAAGCGATGCACCGGAGGTCTCAACCGGAAGATGAGCGATTGTTTGCCAAAAATAGGCTCCATTGAAGGGTTCCTTTACCTGAATAACCAGTAGCATTGAAATGTCATAAGCCAGAAGAAGCGGAAGCGAGAGGATCAAAGCAAACACCCATATCAGCGCTGAAAGCAGGATCGCTTTGATCCATTGCTTTCTTGACGTCGACATCAATGAAAGCCGCTTCACCGAGTAGTATCTGAAAATATTTGTTTACTTTCAATTTTATATTTTCGGATCTTCCGCAATCCCAGACACTTTGCAGCTGCCAATTTTTCGGCCTTGATGCATTTATTGGCCTTCAGCGGGCCCCGTGCAAAGATGCAAGTTAGGTGCTATGGAGATTGCAAAAAATCCTTCCTGGGGGCCCAAAATTTGTGCAGGGTTTTTGCCAGAATTCCCTTGTGAGTTTGGTGTAAAACTAGCCGGCGATATGCAGGGTTTTGTGGTGTTTTTGGTAGGAGCGATTTTGTGAATGGGATTTGGGACTTCACAAAAGGTGTTTCAAGATTTCCGCAGTTTGCAGGAAAAGGAAGATTACATACCTATCAATAGCCATGACGGATATGGTGAGAGTTGAGCAGTAAATATTACTACCAGGGAGAGCATTGGCCACTTTGCAGAATAGGCTAGAGTATGGGAACTCGAAATCCATCGATGGAAGCCAGAGAAGTGGAATGTTGGTCAGGGCGAGGATCTACAAAAGCGCGCTTTCAGAAAAATCGTAATGCCCGTACCAAGTTTGAAATTGCCAGATTCAGGATCAAGACATTCCGATTTGTACGCATCGACTTTTTTCGGCATATCGCAAGTATCACCTGAAAAGACATTGTTCTGCAATTTTCCGCCAGATTTTTCAGCTCTCTATTTTGGGCCCGAAGACCAAATATTCATCACAACAACAGGCTGCCCGGACTCCCTAAACCTGCATTCCCCCTCCTTCTCGGAATTACCTCAATAAATGTCTACATCAATTACTCTGCGCCTGCCCGAGCGACCCGCTTTTTTGCTTGCCCCCCAGACGAAACGTCGATCTTGGCCAGACCAATTTCAGGTATCCGCCTACACCCAGGAATAAACTACGTGAATTAGTGTGACCGGATTTGAGGGTAGGGGCCACTACACAACTCGAACACAACGCACTTCATCCGCCCATTATTATTCTTATTTAAAAACAGATCACTTGCTAATCCCTTGGGCACAATTGTCGGCCGAGCCAGTTATGGGGTGGTAACCAAAAAAGCAGTCAGCCCCCCCCAGCGAATGTTTGGAAAATATACACACATCCACCGGGTGGGACCAAACTAGGGCTGCTCAAATATTAAAGTGGCACAGAACGGTTTTTACATATTTGCTCCGGTAGGGCGGGTCACCAAATTAAAATCCCTGCCAACGATTACCAAGCCGTTTCCAATGACCGCCAGCACGGAAATGATGACGTAAACGGAAGTGTAGGCAATGGCTTCCCACGGGCTGTACCGTCGTAATGAACCTTGTAGTTCATTAAGGAAATTCTGAAAAAAATGAATTAATCTTCGGAGTTGTAGCGTGATACTTGATTGTGTTCAAAATAAATTTTTAAGTGCCGTCTTTAAAAAAACTTTAGGTTATTATGAAAATCAGCTTCAAAAATGGTGCGAGGATTTTGTTTGCAGATATCGTTAAAGAAAAGGTAACTCTAGCTAACAAATGTAGGTTAATTCATATGTAAGCTTGATTGTTTGAAAATATTAATAATCAGCTTTGTTTTTTAAAGACAACGCAGTTTATTAAAGATCCGTATGCAAGAATCGTTCAAAGTTAGGCATTAGTAGATTATTTAATCTGGTACCAGTCATTTGTATTTTTAGCAATCGAAAATAATACATCCGAAGAACGTTGCCTTTTTTTGACGGCCCTACATCAAGTACAACGGCATTTCTTTTAAATCCACGCCAAAAAGAATGATAAATAACCCCCAAATCAAATTCTCATTGTTCCCTTGCCATTTTCGTATTAAAAAATAAGACCGAAAATTGTTCCCTGCACGCCATAAAACCTATTTTAAAAACCGCAATCGGCGCAGAGGCGTGCCGAGCGGCCATATATTTTAATGAGCTGACACGGCAAACACAATGCCGGGGGTTTTGGGGTTCGCAACACTATTGAAAACCTCCCACACAAAAAATTTGCTTGCTGCTGTGTGGATGGGGCTTTTCGAATTTGATTTCGGCTTTATGGAACGAGGCGGAAAAAGTTGTCATGGGGCGCCAAAGGGCAGACATGGTATAACTTTCTACAAGTTATTTATGTTTAAAATCCGGCTTAAAAAATCAATTTTACATGCAATTACCGCGCCAAAACCTACCGTCAAGCAAGCATGGTTGAAGGGTGTTGTATTGTAATAGGGGTCATCTGGCCCTATGCTCCGGGGACAGAACTGCTCGAGATCGCTGAGATCCATGGTCTGTAAATGCTTTGATGTTTGAGAGCTCGAATTGAACCTTGTTCAATTTAAAAGCATAATGAAACGTTGTCACTTGTAGTCTTGTGAATCGGGTTTGGGAAACAGGAAAAATCAGGCGTCAAATATTCACATGAATATTGGGTGTCGTGAATGAGGGAAGCGAGGTGTTTCATTGCCGCGTAAACTTTTCTTGTGATACCATTTAGCTGACAATTTATTTAGGTGAGCTTAGATTTTTGCTGTTTGAAGTCATTAATGAAAAACATATGGAAGTGAGCATGATCAAGTGGAGGTCAAATCTATCGAACAGGTGCTATTTTTTTAATGAATGCATTTTTACAGAATCTGATAGCCCGGGTGTCTAAAAGAATTTGGCGAACGTAAAAACTTTTGGGTTCAAATGGAAAAATGTAGAAGCTCTCTAGAAAAATAAACTTTAAATGGAAAAGGCCCCTCTACAAAAACCAATATACATTTTCAATTCGGCCCTGTAATAGTTAAGTGCTTCCCACCAAATGTCAGCTGCCTAAAATCCACAAAAATATAGACAAATATTATAAAAACAATACACCGCCAGCGCAAAAGAGCATCCGAATGGCTAGCGGTGGTGGGGGCGGCCGGGCCAGAGGCTGAAGAAGAAGAGATGGCAGGACAAGAGGCCCCTCCCCCCTCATGGTTGGATATGGATGCGCTTGGAAACATCGTCCCCCTCTTTTTGGTCGTTTCCAAAAGCCCTGACAAACACATCATCAACCCTCCAATAGTCGTCATTAACTACCCTGAAAAGATTTAAAAAGGAGCGTGAAAAACGCCCGGGGCGATGAGTGGGTAATGTGGTGGTGGACGATGCATTAGGGGGAAAAGCGTTGCGTATTAAAGGGGGGCGGCTAAATCAGTTTCAGATAATTCGGGTGCTAATGGATTTGTGTGCGGGGCTGCAAGGTGCCCGATGGAGTATCCCGGGAAAATTTTTGGGAAGACGTAAATGACCCAGCACTTCAAAGGGGAAATGGGCTAGACTGGTTTGGGTAAATGAATCGGCCAGAAAGATTGGGCAATAAATTAGTTGTGGCTTTAATTTTTGCTTAAAAGGAGGGAGAAACAACGAGACATCATGTTGACATCTTAATTGTACTAAAAAAGGTTCAAAGCCACCTTTACCCTCAAAGACGTTCTTCCTAAATAAAAACTATCGTTCACTGCCAGCACCGCCGGAAAAGGCTCAAATGGTTTCGTGAATAAATCCAAAAAACACGCAATAAATTAATCGCTTCAATTTTTTTTTGTAAATTTACGACCTACATGGAAAATCTAGAATCGAACCTACAATCGGACGGTTAAAATCGTTTCAAAAACTTTTATGAGACACGTTTGCACTCAAAAATATCTGCTCTCCACCTAAAATGATCACTTACTGCCATCACGGCCCTTCATTCCGTATTATCGCTCAAAATCTAGCCGCCATCAGCGCCGCTCCTATGGGAATTCCCAATGCGACACACCGGATTTTTCAAAACATCTCGCCCCAAAAAACCATTTCCGATTCCGAAAACATCCAAAAAACATCTTCCACCTAGGTGTGTCAGGGGCCCTAGTGAAGCCATTTACCTCGCGTCAGTGTACCCGCATAAATTGATCTCCATTCTGAAACGCCCAAATCCGGTGATTCAGCTGGCACCGAATCTGATGCCAGGCTGAATAGGATGGTTGCGCAGGGAGGAGCGAGATATTGCTTTTGGTTGTGCGTAGTGACGAGCAAAGGATAATAATGGTCGAAATTAGAGGGTTCCAAGACAAAAACAGAGACGTTATTAGCGACAAGGAGCCGTTGATGGCTAACGACTTGGTGCGGGTGGATGGATGGAAGAAGAAAAAGAGAGTGTAGGTGATGTTATTTTGTTGCGGAGGAAAGAGCAGATAATCGCAACTTGGCCCCGCGACTGCATTGACCAATGAGATCCTCATCTTAATGTCTAATGAAATGATGGTCGGCTTGGCCGGATAACGACCACAACCGCCTTCACTTCGTGGAATTTCCGCATCGCTTTGCATTAGTTTGATAGATGAGTCAGAGACGCAGATAGGGAAAACAGGAAAGTTATCTAATTATACATTCCGAATGAATAACTATTAGAAAATAAGGCTTACTGGATTATTTTGAGCCGAGTCGACCTTATGTAAAACGCCACTAAAGTACGTACCGAAGCCCTATGAAGATGTGCAAGCAAGAAAATGTTAATGGAAACAGCTCAAGAACGCACATTCACTAATCCTCATCCATGCCATGGATGGCATATAAAATATCCCCTTCCGCTTCAATTTTCTCTCATCTCGGCTACAGCATTTCCTCTTGAACACCCCGTTCACCTTGGCCCCCAAATGAGGGGAGCCCTCAATTCGTGGGGCGGCTCCTTTTAAATTGCGCTCCCGCGGTGAGGCTCACAAAAAAGCATAAGCAAAAAATAATTAGGCAAACCTAGTCACCATGAGCATTCCACTGGTTGAAAAGACTAAAGGGAAGGATTCAATGAATTTTAGAGAGGCAGGGATTCGAGTTGTGGTTTTTCAAAAATATGTAACAATTGTAGTTCACTATTTAAGACCCCTTCTATATACAAATAAATCTTTAAGGTTTAGCAAAACTACTTCGGTACAAATTCAAAAGCACAACCCCCAATCTCCAAAGCGAAAATGAGAAGCCAAGGGCGGTCACCGTTATGAATGCCCCCCCCCCCCGTTTATGGACCCGAAAATGGAGCAAAAGCCTCCGTTTTTAATGACGCTTCATCGCGCCATGCGGCACACCGACCCCTGGTATGGCCCATCTTGGAATAGCGCATTTGGAAATGAATGAAAATGCGTGACGGGACAACGCTTGTTCTCCTCGCAACTGCCGAGCAGCTTACCGGGGGCTAAATTACGTCAAGATGGGGAGGGGGTTTTCTTCGGAGCCACGGCTCAACCAAATCAGCTAAGTGGTTTAAAAAAAGTGGGGAGCATTATATCGGTAGAATTTTGTCTGGGGATCAAAAATCTTTATGGTCAAAGCACGATTTTAATTGCTAATTTTGGATATATTATTTTTCCATGCTTTCATTTCGTACGACAGAAGGGCTGGTGAACCGGTTCCTCATAAAACTTATTCCCCCTTTTTTGATGGATGTCTCCAACTCTGGGCCGGACCAGATTGCCCCGGAAATCCGGGTCTTATTCTGGCTCACCAGAAAAATATTAGTTCAGATCGTGACTTTTATAAGGCTTTTAAAATAATCAACAAACCTTTTCCGATCCCTCCAACATTGTGGCACACCAAAAACGATCGTGCCGCGAATTCGCCGCTTTAGAACCTAAAACTGTGCTTTGATTCAGGGTCCAGCGAAAGCAGACCAAAGATGAGACTGGAATCTGTGGCGTGATTATCGTAAAGTGGTGATGCCGACTGACTACTGCTAAATGCCTTGCTCCCTAGAGGGCGACGATTAAGTGACTGAAATTCTTGCTCCAAACAAGCGTCTATCAAACCTTCTCAAAAATCAGACGGCGTTGGCCCGGACGGTCAGGCCAAGAAAACATGAATGACGATTTAGAAAGTATTTTCGAAAATGTTTCCAAGATAAATCGGGGTCGAACCGAAGCCGGAAGCAAAAAGCAAACGTTCATTTGCGTCCCGGATTTTTGGATCATCCTGGATTTTTGCGTGCGGGGTGGGGAACAAAGTCATTCAAAACGGCTGGGAAACTATGGCAAAAAACTTCCTCGCTGAAAAGGGCGATTTCATGAGGTGGGCCGAAGAATGGCATTAAGAATTATAGACAATTTTGTATCAATACCATATAGGATTGAAACAGGGTTATGGCTAGAATCAAAATGAAACAGAGCAAGAAATGCCTCAACCCTCGAAACGGCTCAATTTAACCTACGAAATGCACCTCCTAAACACCAGACCCAAAAGATCTCCTCCATCCATAATCCGCTTTTTCCTGTCCCCGGAATCCAATGCACCGTTTTTGCACTAGAGTCTGTTTCATTTGTTCGTCCGGCATCTATCTTCCCAAAATTTCCTCCCCTTTTCAAAAATCACCCTGATGTCAAGGGCGCGCGGGTAAGTTGAGTAATGAGTGTTGCGAACAATGTTTTATTACTCTCAAATTTCACAGAATTTTTGGGTTGGGGCCAGGGGTCGTAGGCGTGAATGCTGATTAATTGAAGCAAGAGGAAAGATGATTGAGGGTTGGCGTTCGGGGGTAAAGATTTGGGAATTGGGGTTGGAGCTTTAGGGTTTATAGAGGTTCTGTTAACACGGAACTTCAAAGCTGAAGAAGCGGCAAGTAAGGTGTTCTGGGGAGTTGTGAAGATAGGTGCTGAGGGCCTGAAAGACGTTTCTGAATAGATTGAAGTGGGTGGAGGGGGGGGGGGATGTGGAAAAGATCTAGGGCCTTCCGAAATTCGATTACTAGCACCCATACGAACAGGTAGCGTTGGTCTTTCGAGGGCGATGAAACGGTTAGAGGCCCTTGAGAGGTCGGCTTTCGAGTTTCTAAAGGCGTGTAAGCAGTCTAGTAAATCCCCACCAAAATCCACCTCAACAACTCAAACTTATATTACCAGTTGTGAGAAGAACCAGTATTTTGAAATATTTTCAACCAGGGTAGCTAAAATCTCTAGAATGCATCTGCTGGTAAAAACAGCTTTTGAAAAATTTAAGTCGGCCCAAAACCCAGTAGACAGAGTCCAAAGCACCTCAAGACCCTCCAAAACAATGGCTAGCCCAGGGGCCCAACCGAAATTCGTGAGCGCTCGGGGCCCATCGAATTACCAGATTTCCCGGGAATTTTCCCGTGATTTTTAAGCCCTCGTTAGTAGCGGGTGGGAAAATGAAAGCCCGAACAACGTTTTTGTAGCCTGGGATTCTGATAAAAAGGCTGGAAAACGGGGTTGTGGACGGATTGAAAGGGCTTGAGAATATTATAGCCTAAAGCACAAAGTAGGTCAAGTCA